GTTCGACTGGATCAGTCTCCACTTCTTCTCACTCCTTTTCTGAACATGAATAACTTTTTCTCATTTGTTGTTTTATTCTTCACTTTTTTATCATTATTCTTCTTACATGTTCAAATAAACTTTAATCAATCAAAAAGGATTGGTTCAGACTAATCAGAAGAGTTCTGGTCCAGGTTCTGGTCCAGGGTCAGACTCACTGCTCTGCTCCTGCTCCATGGCCGCCTTCAGCTGTTCAGGGATCCCCATCCCAGGGATGGAGGCCACGCTGTTCAGATCCACGTCATCTGAGACACAAACACAGAGGAAACCTCAGCAGCAGCTCCTTCAAAATAAAACCACCACACCTTTTTGACCCCTGCGGCTCACCGTACTCCACGCCGTCCTCTGACATCCCCGGCAGCAGGTTCAAGTTGTAACGGTCCCTCATCTTATCGCCCGGCCGATTCCTCGTCCAGAATTTACTGAAGGACAAGAGCGAAGAGTCGGTGTGTGTGTGAGTGCGTGTGTGTCTGTGTGTTACAAGTACAGGTGTGTGTCACAGGTACCTGGTGTGGTCGTTGGAACCCGAGCAGAGGATGTGACCGAGTGGGTGCCAGGCCAGACTCCAGATCATCCCCTCATGGGCCATCTCCATCCCCCCCACCTCCTTCTCCACCCTGGAAACAAACACCAGCAGCAGTGAGTGTCTGAACCGGTCTGAACCGGTCTGAACCAGTCTGAACCGGTCTGAACCAGTCTAACCAGTGACGCATCTTTGTCTAAGGTCACTGGTGTCTTCTACAGTCTGACTTAGGATCAGTCTCAGGTCAAAGGTCAAAGTTACCCTGTGTGCCAGAACAGCAGGGAGCCGTCAGAACCGCCGCTCGCAAACAGACCCTCATGGACGGGATGCCAGGCGACCGCTGGAGAGACGGGAGCAGCACAGACAACGAGAAAATGATTACTGTCATCATCATCATCATCATCATCATCATCATCATCATCATCATCATCATCATCACCATCATCATCATCATCATCATCATTATCATAACTGTCATCATCATCATCATCATCATCATCATCATCATCATCATCATCATCATCATCATCATCATCATCATCATCATCATCATCATCATCATCATCATCATCATCATCATCATCATCATCATCATCATCATCATCATCATTATCATCACCATCATCATCATCATCATCTTCATCATCATCATCATCATCATCTTCATCATCATCATCATCATTATCATAACTGTCATCACCATCATCATCATCACCATCATCATCATCATCATCATCATCATCATCATCATTATCATCATCATCATCATCATCATTATCGTAACTGTCATCATCATCATCATCATCATCATCTTCATCAGCATCATCTTCATCATCATTTTTACATCTGAACTATTGTAATCAGGATCTTCAGACCCACAGACCCAAATAAGGACCTCTGAGGATCTCTATTCTGGACCCTGTTGAGGTTCTGGTCCAGTACCTGGGTCAGTACCTGGTCAAGTACCTGGGTCAGTACCCGGTCTCTGTGAGGGTGGGCTCAGACTCACCTGTGGCCTCCTTCTTGTGTCCTCTGAACACCTGCAGCTCCTCCTTCAGGTTCCTGATGTCAAACAGTTTACACAGGTGGTCACGTGACGCCGTCAGCAGCCAGTTACCGTTCAGGTTCCACTTCACCTCCATCACCGTGTTTTTGTGGGCGTGGCTAAGGAGAGAGAGACGCCATGTTAGCGTTCTGGCTTGTGCTGCGTTCGAGTAACCTCTGGAGTCCGGAGTCGGAGCTGAAAATGACGTCACACCAGAGTTATCGGAGTTGTCTCCGTCTACAGTTCTGTTAACGCTTGCCTTATATTCAGACGGGGCGAACGCTTAAATAACTTTCGTAGATGTCGCCATCTTGTTTCCACCTCCGATTTTGCTCTTTCCGACTTGGTCACTGAAACGTAGGTAACTCTGGTGTGACGTCATTTTCAGCTTTGACCTCTGACTTCTGAGGAAACGCCAACGCAGCACTAGTGTTGGAATTCTTCGATCTGATTGGACGATAAACATCAGCTGATGTTTGATGATATTTGTTCTTTCCTGGAGGTGTCCATGATCTCAGGTTTAACCCCTGACCTATATGTACACCTGCTGTTAGCGGGTCAGGCTCAGAACCAGTACCCGCAGTTAAACCCTCTCTGATCTAGTCTGGGTTCAGGTTTTAGACTCACAGAGTCGCCAGGCTCTGGCCGGTCTTCGGGTCCCAGAATTTGATTGGCTGTTGGCTGTCTTTGCTGCCGGAGACCACCAGGCCTTTGGTGGGATGCCAGTCCACACACTTCACATCTGCCCCGTGACCTGTGGGGGGGGGGGGGGCGCACACACAGGCGCGCACACACACACACACACACACACACACACACACACACACACACACACAGACACACACAGACACACACACACACACACACACACACACACACACACACACACACAGACACACACACAGAAAGACTCGTTATCAGGTCGTTCCGTTAAACTTTGTCCTCTCTGGGACTCCGTAGGTTTTGATCTGGTTTGGCGTTGCGCTGTGATTGGTCGTCGTACCTCGGAGGATCCTCTCCTCATGACAGCGCAGGAAGTCCCAGATCCTGACCGTCCCGTCGTCCGAACACGTGGCGAACTTATTATCTGTGGGAGAGAAACTGGAGAGGAGAGACGAGGGTGAGAACCTGAGGGACTGAGACATGAACTGAACGAGGACATGAGGACAAGGGAGGGAGGACAGGTGAGGGGGACAGGTGAGAGGAGACAGGTGAGAGGGGACAGGTGAGAGAGGACAGGTGAGAGAGGAGAGGACAGGTGAGAGGGGACAGGTGAGAGAGGACAGGTGAGAGGGGACAGGTGAGAGGAGAGGACAGGTGAGAGGAGACAGGTGAGAGAGGACAGGTGAGAGAGGACAGGTGAGAGAGGAGAGGACAGGTGAGAGGGGACAGGTGAGAGAGGACAGGTGAGAGGGGACAGGTGAGGGAGGAGGGGACAGGTGAGAGGACAGGGAGCTCTAAGCGGTCTGATGGTTCTGATTAACTCGGCCCGTCTCTCTATTGTTTACCCCGAGTCGTCATGGTTACAGAGTCAGAGCTGGCGTTTCCTCTCAGCTCTGATTGTCATGATGATCAGAGACGACCACGGCGAGCATCAGAAACTAACAGGTCAGGAGGTCGGGCCGTCACTCAGAACAACTCTGATCCAGAATTTTAAACCAATCACAGTCCGTCGTTATTTTTAACCCTTTAGTGGTCTTATTAAAACTCTACAGATGTTTAATCTGATGGACAGACTGAGGGTTTCTGTCCGGGTCACTCTGGATGGACTCTGTTCCCTGACACGGATCTGAGGTCCTGGTCTGTCTGTGTCTGTGAAGTTCGTCCTCTCTTCTCCTAAACTCGGATCTCGTCCCTCGTCTGGATCAGCAGCTCTCAGGTGTTTGTTTTGGTTATTTTCCCTCAGCACAGACTAAAGAGATGAGCTGATGAGTCTGTCGACCCCCCACAGTGAACCGTCAGGGTCAGAGGTCAACAGAACCTGCTGTTGAGTCTGTTCAGGTCCTGATGGTTGAATTTTCCTTCTCTAGACCACAATGACAGAGTTGAGGTCTGAATGTCTCCACCTGCTGGACAGTCTGAGTAATGACAGCTCAGAGTCACAGCTGACCCTCATCATCTTCAGACGCTCCTGTTCTCATCAGTAACTCTTCACTTTTATGATTTGATCGAAGCTGAACGCTGCGTTCACGTTCACAGCAGAGCTCGGGAAAAAACAGTTTTAGAGTTTTTTAAAACAGATTTTAGTTTTTTTGTTTTTAAACAGCATCTTGAAGACGAACTGTCCCCCGACTGTTTTATTCTGTGACGCTCAGAGCCGAGGGATGGAGGAGGAGACTCGAACCCTCGTGGACAGGATCAGGTCTGCTGTGATTGGACAGAAACTGTTTCTCTGGTTAATTAAAGAGTCAGACTGAGTGACGGCTGACTGACAGGTGTGCTGGTCTCAGTCAGGTCTGAATCAGAGTCCCAGATCTGGGGCGGTACAGTCACTCTGCTGTGGGGGGGGTTCGAGTACAGAGGTGCTGAAGTTCATGGAGTTAAAGTGAGGTCAAAGTCTGTCCTCGTGGACTTCACGGACCGGTCCTCAGAACCAGCTGAGAACGTTCTCTGGTTTCAAAAGTCTGAGGGACATCTGAGACCAGACTGACTTTCAGGAAGTAGACCGAGCCGCATGGTTCAGATCCACTGAGACACGGTTCTACAAACTTCTGCGACAGACCCTAATGAGGAGACGCTCTGATGGATGTGGACCCCTGTGGACTCGCCAACGCCCCCAAACAAGTCACCACCTCAGTCCGGGTGACTCAAGTCTGGACTAGTGTGAGCGGGTTCATGGTGGACCACCTGAAGGGACCTGAAGCTTCTGTCCTACAAAAATAACAACAGTCCTGAGGGGGGGCAGGAGACCCCCACAGGTGGAAACAGTGCATTCTGGGTATTTGTCCTCAGAGGGAGGACTGAGCACAGGTCTGAGATCAGCTGTTCCACAGACCTATCATGGGGGGGGGGGGGTCATAGTCCATAAACCTGGAGACTGTGATGGAGGCCGGACCAGAACTTTGTCCTTAAAACAGCCAATCAAGTCCTGATCCGAGTCTGAGCCACGACTGAGGGGTCTGCAGGGACGGTCTACAGACCTCCCAACTAAAGACTGTCTGATCAAATAAATATGATTGTCAGAATAAAATAGAAACATGTTGGAGCTGCTGCTGATGTAGGCCTATGATTCTTCCTAAGCTCCGCCCCCCGCTCTGTCCCTCCTGAAATGGTCACTGAGCATCGAAAGAGCAGAGAAGGACGAATCCTTCAGGATCAGAGAAGAGAGAGAGGAAGAGGAGAAACACCAAGATAAAGGTCTGTCTGCATGTCAGGGAAGGTTCATCACAGAGATCTGTGAAGGTGTGTGAACGATCAATAATCAATATTATTGGCAGAAATAGAGGGCCCCAAAATCACATCTGGCTTGGGCTTGGGCCCTACTGAGTCCTGACCAGACCAGCTGACCCAGTTTTCCTCCAGGAACACCCCCCCCCCCCCCTCCTGTTCTGTGACTGTAAAGACCCAGAGACCAGCAGAGGGGGTAGTGGGAGTCCAAGGGAAGAGCTCACTGCTGTCAGGACTACTGTGGGACAGGAGTGAGCAGGGTTAGGGTTAGTCCAGGTCCACAGAGAAACCACACCTTGTTGATTGTGAAGTCTTAAAAAAACATCAGAACCTCTAAGGGCCCGAAACCGTCCGAGTCCTTGACACCCGTGTGACTTAAAGGGATATTTCAGCGTAAAATTAATCTAGGGTCAAACCCACCGTAACCCCGAGTTAGACCCCCCCCTCAGAGATGAATGTTGTCGACCTCTTCCTTCTCTAGTTATACCAACTTTAGTAACGACCGCAGGATAGAAATACAGAGAGCCACGCCCCCAACCAAAACGCCACTCTATAGCCACAAATAATGCTCAGAACAGCACCTAACTTCATCAACAGGACATATAGGGTCACAGACATAGTACTATATTCAGAGTTGTTCTAACTCCTAAGAAAACATAAACTTAAGCGGGGGCGTTTCTCCACCTCTGTAGTCTATAAGCTGGGCCAATAAACTTCTACTGTAGTAAAATGAAAAGGTAAAGGTGTTTTTATTGAGCCGAATTATCAATAAAATCATGATCTTGTTAACAGGTATGGATTTATGTGCTGTCGAGTTAATATATTTGAACAAGAGCACAGTAAAGTTAAATCAGCTAATTTTCCAATGAGGTTCTGTTACTGAAGGGAAACTACACCATGTTCTACTGAGGTTAGTACATATAGGGTCACAGACATAGTACTAGACACCAAACATCTTTTTAACTTTACAGAGAGACTAAACACAACTCACCTACTCTCTTCCAGCAGACGCTTGTTTGTAGTGAGACCTCAGGCCAGTCCATTACAGACTACAGCGGGGTGCCACAGCTCAAGGAAGAACATTTATGATCATTTCTTCATGGAAATACAATCAGACCGAGACGCTAAGACAGAGGAACTACCGCGTCTGTAAAATGATTGATATGGTGATTATTACTTCAAGGAAATGATAAAGAAATGATCATAAATGTTCTTCCTTGAGCTGCGGCACCCCGCTGTAGGTCTCTGTACAAACAAGCGTCTGCTGGAAGAGAGTAGGTGAGTTGTGTTTAGTCTCTTTGCTAAAGAAATGAATCAAAGTTAAAAAGATGTTTGGTGTCTAGTACTATGTCTGTGACCCTATATGTCCTGTTGATGAAGTTAGGTGCTGTTCTGAGCATTATTTGTGGCTATAGAGTGGCGTTTTGGTTGGGGGCGTGGCTCTCTCGGTGTTACGGTGGGTTTGACCCTAAACTAATTTTACACTGAAATATCCCTTAAACCACAAGACCTCACAGTGATCAATAATCCACATCAGGCAATCACAGAGCTTGCTAAGGATCATGGGTAATGTAGTGCTCAGCTTCCTCCTGTACAGTATAATACAGAATGACACCACAGACCACAGACTACCTGTAGTCTGTGGTCTGTGGGGCGGTTCTGCGTCTCACTGTACGCGCCCCCCCACCCCCCGTCTAGTCACCAGGTCAGTCACCTTAAGTCTGATGATGTCACTGTGATGTCACCAGTTTAAGGCACCGCGTGTAAATCGTTCAGTCCGTGTCAGAGTTACTGAAGGTGTGTTTACCAGGCAGTGAAGCTTCAGTCAGGTGCATTCTGGGTAATGTAGTATCCAGTGTTCTTAGCTGAGAGTCAGGGTGTCTGTGGTGTGCTCACAGTGTTGAAGTGAAAACTTTATTTCAACATCTACAGCTGCCTGTTGGGTGAGGTTCAGACCAGCAGCAGCTTCAGCAGCGTCAGCGTCTCTTTCTTTATTCCCCTTATCTTTAAACTTTATTGATCCCTGCCGCAGCTTTATTTGGCCTTTATTGGTTTTTTATTGTCCTGTCTGTCCTCGTCTCCACCCAAACCAGTGAGAGGTAACGGTCGACAACTTTATTAACACACAGAGATAAACAGCTCATCAGCCACATGAGGAAGAACATCAACAACAGATCACTGCAGTGTTGCAACAGCACACACTTACATCTGTCATTAATCAACCACAACAACAACAACAACAGCCTGAACATGTGGCGCCCCCGCCTGGCTGTCAGAGAGACGCACAGGCTGGGCTGGACTACAGAAAATGGTAGATTGGGTATAAACCTGGCTTCTCTAATGGCCTCCTTGTGAGCCTGGAACATCTTGACGTTGTTCATGTTGGACTGCCAGTACTTCACGTAGCCGCCGTGGTCCGCCGTCAGCATCCACATGTCGTTATGAGACCAGGTCATGGCCCGGACAGGACTGTCGTGAGCCTGCAGGGGGCAGAGGAGAGCAGGGGGAGGAGTCAGCTTCACAGGTGGAAATGTACAGAGAGAATACCTGAACTTAAAACTGATGCTGTCTGAAGATCAGGTCACTTCCTGTCCGTGTCTGCTTAAACGGTTCTGACCCAGTTTCATCCTCAAACAGCTGATGTTCTGTTCTCCCGAAAGTTTGGATCACTTTGAGGGTTCTGCCTGTTGAACTAACCTATGGACCTATTATTGTCCTTTCAGTACCTTTGATCGGATCTTCACATGATCTACAATCAAACCAGAACTCTAGAGGAGAGCACTCCAGAACCCTGAAATCTGATACCCTGCACTAGAGGACCCTTCATTCTAGATCTCTTCATGTTCTAGGATTCTAGAACCCTTTATGTTAGAACCGTTCTTTCTAGAAACCCGTGTGTTAGAACCCTGTATTCTAGAACCCTTCATGTTAGAACCCTGTATTCTAGAACCCTTCATTCTAGATCTCTTTATCCTAGAACCTTTCATGTTAGAACCCTGTATCTTGTAGCCCAGCGTTCTCAGTCTTGCGTAGGTTTCCAGCCTCTCTCTCTCTCTCTGACAGTTTTGTTTGTATTTTAAAATAACCTTTTAAATGATCTTAACTGAGTAAAGTCCTGATCCTCAGACTGAAGAGATAAACTGACAGCACAGGTTCCTTCGGTTTGTTCGGTGTGAGGTCTTTCATGTTCTGTTTCATCGATCAGTTACGTCAGGATTTGAGCCGATCCTGTGTTCGGGTTTTGACTCTTTTATTGATCATCAGAGTGGACTGATCAGGATCGATCTTCAACCCTAACACTTCACAAACGTACAGGTGGGTGTTTACCTGGAGGATGGTCTCAAAGTTGAAGGTGAGGCCGTTCCACAGAGTGAACTCTCCACTGGAGGCTCCGGTGACCAGACGGCGGCCTTCAGGAGTCCACTGCAAACAAACAGGAAACCGTCAGAGAAGGTCAGAGCTGCGTTCACCGTCTCTAAACTCAGATTCAGGTCTGTGTGACGCAGCAGCAGCAGAAACTCACCCTGATCACAAACACTGGACACTTGACTTTGTTGGTGGAGGTTCGGACAAACTTTGTGGTGACGGCGTTCATGGGGTTGCTGAGCATGCCCACAGGAGGGACCAGCTGAGACGGACAGACAGTTTAGATCGTTAACGACTCAAAATCAAACACAGGACCAGGATCTACGGTATTTGGACTCTCGGAGGATCCGTTTAACCCGGTCAGACTCACATCGTTGTAACATCCTGCGTCAGGCTGGATGGCTCGGAAGTCTCGGTGGTCTCTCTGCCACAGGCGGTTCTGAAAACACAGACACATCAGGTTTATTGTTATGACAGGAGGAGCTTTGTGGTCTGTGTGAGTGAAGACAGGTGTGGACGTGTCAGTTACAAACACGAGATGAAACCTCTGATCCTGGGCCCCTCAGAGGAACAAATGTGAGGAGATCAGAACGGGACTGGAGATGAAGACTGACACCAAACAGACAGAGAAGAACCACCTGGGGTCCTGATCAGCTGTTCTCAGCTTCATCAATCACAGCTGATCAGTTATAGCAGATATCACAGACCAATCAGCTCTTCGTTTTATCGTGACCACACTCTCACTTCCTGTCTGTCCACTCTGAAGGTCATGAGGTGGAACATCTGGACCTTTTTCAAACAACCTCTCAAGTCCACATGACTCAAAGTTCAAAGCTGTGACCTTTAACCCTTTAGAGCCCAGGTGTGCTTACCTCCAGGTATCTGATGACTGAGGGGTTGTAGTCGATGGTTTTGCGGTTCACCGCCTTCCTCATGCGTTTGCCGTCAAAGGTGAGCTGCTGCATGGCCTGCTGCTGGGCGAAGTCCGGACGCTTGTAGAACACCTGCCGCGGCGCCTGGTGCTGGAACCGCGGCATGTGGAAGAACCGCTGTGGAGACCCGATGTCCGTCGCCATGGTGACTCACTGTACCTGCAGGAAGTCCAAATGTGTGACATCAGTGGTTTTAGATTACAGGAGGCTCTGACTACAGATGTACCGATCAGATATCGGCTCTGATATTGACAAATTAACTGGATCAGATATTGACAGAATGGCGCCGATCCAGAGTTCCGATCCATGGAGGTCGGACTTCTTTCTGCTCTGTGCTCATGTGTAATTAGTTACTTGTTAATCAATAATATTCAGTAATTTATACTTTTTAATGTCGAACCTCATGCCTTCACTCACAGGTAAACAGTTCACTCATTCATTCCACAGTGATATTGATTATCGGCCGATCAATCAGCCCAGGTATGGGTATCAGATTGGATCGTAAAATACTGGATGGGTGCGTCTCTAACTCTGACTGACCCGTTCATCTTAAAAACCACATCCTGACATCAGCAGACAGTGAAGTTTGTCGTTTCATCAAAAGAAACACGACTCTGTGGCAACAGTGAAGGAGGTTCCAGAATGTCGTCTATAAAGACCCTCATGCTGCTCTTCTGATCTCCTGAGACCGAGGAGATCTGATCCAGTTCATCAGAGTTCTACAGTGACCACAGAACCGGTCCGTTTACTGCTGAGAGAGAGGCTGTCTGGACCCTCAGAGGTCCGAGTTCACCATCCTTCTCCAGTTCCTTAAGTTCTGCACAGAACAGGAACTAAGTGACACCTGAACAGGGTTTTCCTGGACTGGCACAGACCCGTCAGACTGTGACGGTGTTACGGACAGAACCTGGTGAACATCATTTTAACTGAATTACAGCTGAATATAAGACTGTTGACAGAAACATCTCAGTGTTCCTGAAAGACACTCAAAGAAACACATCTTCACTGGATCAGAACATCAGAACCAGAACCTGCTGACCAACAGCTGTGATGAGAAATCCAAATCCAACATCTCTGAACCCCTGAGGGACTGTCCACACCAGAGACGTGTTTCTGCTCACAGAGACTCTGGACCACAGACGCTGAGGGAGTCTATTCTCGGAGAGCTTCTTCACTTCACTTCTCCTCACCATCTTTCAGAAGAACCAAACATCAGACATCCCGTCTCAGGAGTCCCTCTCTACACAGACACAAACAACAGTGTCCTACAGTCCTGTAACATGGTACACCTGTCTGTCCTCCAAACTGAGAATCTGTTCAAAGGTTAAAGGTCAAAAACATGCCGAGGCTGTCTTCATCATCAGCCCTCAGATCCAGGGTCCCTCCTTTTTTAGGGTCAGACTAGAGCTCGGAGGATCTGACCCCTCTGTTTTTGTCTCGTCTGTTCAGACTGGTCTCTGAATGAAGTCATAATCACACTCGGTCTAATTACTATGAAACCAGGATTATCACTCAGACTCGGCGTCCCCGGGGTTTTGTGAATCCTGACTGTACGTTTGACCGCGGTGACGACATGTTGGACACAAACTGAAGGAGTAGGTCCGTTAAAAACACTCGTTCAGTCTCCTTCCTCCAAAAGTCAGTCACCTCTTTTTGTTGTGACTTTTTTACAGGCCCTTGAAATCCACCAGCCAAATGTTGAACCCACTGACTCCCTGAGTGGAGTGGGGGGGTGTTTGTTCAGACTTAGACTGTAATGAAACCAACATGTCCTCATGCTGGCTCACTTAATAATAATACATAATAAAAAAGTCTCTACATGTCAGGATTAAGATATTTACACGTTACTATGACTACTGCTGCTCCCTCCTGTCCCCTGGATGTCCCTAATGTCCCAGTGTCCTGCTGTCTTTGGGGTGGATCTCTCAGAGGACCAGGAACTGTTTAAACACCACAAACAGTTCTGCTTTGTTTTCACTTATTTACAGCCCCTGAGTTCATCCAGTCATAACTAACAGTCGCAATGTTTTATTAACTCCTATTTCTATAGTAAATAAGTAAGTTAAGTTTATTTATAGAGCCCTTTTTACAGAGAAAAATCACATTAAATAAGAGCAATTAGACAAACATCAAAGTTCATAAACAAACACAGTACAGGTGAGCATGGAAACAAGTGCAGATATAAAAGAGACAAACTCAACCCTGTTCATTAAAGTTTGTCCGAATAAAAGCGTCAAAAACGTCTTTTTAAAAGTTTCCACTGAGTCGATCAAACGGAGGGAGAGGGGCAGACCCCTCCAGAGTCTGTGGATTTGGACTGGAGATGATACACTATCCACTTTCTCTTACAGCATGAACCTGAGGACCAGTAACAGCCTCTCTGTCCATCATGAGCGCACACAGACCTGCTGAGTCTGTTCGTGATGGTAAAGAAGCAGAAACAGACAAACAGGCTGGACCAGGAGCAGAGAGATGACCTCCTCTGAGGATCTAAGATCTTTGATTAGGGGAGACCGGGTTAAGATGATCCATGTTTGCAGATCAGACCATCAAGTCAGTCCTAGTTTAGTCTCTGACTCGTGTCTCTGCAGATATTTTAGGATGTTCTTCATCAGAATGAGTGTAAACAGAACTGTCATCTTCAGAATATAGCAGGACAACAACAGGGTCTCCTATGGTCAACTTACCCCGGGTATGTTTGGGGTAAGTTGAGCCGTATCTCAGCTACCCCCCCCCCAGTCCTCCCTCATCTTCTCTCTCCCTTCACATTCATGTGTATTTTTATCTATTATACTCTATTCAACTGGTACAATCATTCTTTTTATTATTACATATAACTGATAAAACAAACATTTGAAGATGAGAATGTCTTTAAGTGACTGAGAACATTCACAGATCTGTAAACTCTGATCCTCTCCTCAGACTCCTTTACTGTCTCTGTTCCCCCTGAACTACGATGAGGACTTTATTAGTCCTCCAAGATCAAAAGGTGGACTGTTAGGTTCATAGATACCACAGTTGATGGAGAAAACTAATGTCAAATGATCTTTTCTGGTCTGAACACAATTCTGATCAAATTGATGTAGAGATGGGAATCAAGAACCAGTTCTTATTGAGAACCGGTTCCAAATGTTTCAATCCATCGACATCATTTACATTTTATCTTAACGATTCCTTTAATGATTTCTTTCTTCCGGCTGCGTTTAAAAACAGTCTCGTGAGTACCAGTCTACGCAAACAAGAACAGACAGAGGAAAGAACACAGCGGACAGTACAAAAAGTACTGTTGGCACAAACGATTAAAGCGTGGTTACATTTTACTAAGAAAGGCGACAACAGAGCAACATTTGTGGAGCAGTGAGAACATGTAAAGGTGGAAACATCAGAAACATGCTTCAACATTTGTCAACGGAGCACGGCATCAAATATAAGGAGTCACATGAATTCAATGATCTCCTCAGGTGTTGTTGTAAAATACACCCCCTGCATCCTCTCCACTCATGAGCTTCTTAAAGTGGAAGAAAATGACCTGATATTTAAAAAAAATCAGGAGTATTAGATCATGACAACATGTCAGATGGAGCAGCAAACTGTCGTTCTGTTTTCATGAGTCTCTAAAATCTCACATTTAGAGGTGAACTCAGGTTTATAAACTCTACAGGAAACTGTCAAAGTAAAGAACTTTAAATATTCTGAATCAGAGGACTGTTGTTTTCAGTTTATCTGAATAGTCTGAATTAAATCATTAAACACTTTAGAATCCACCTGATGTTGAAGAAAACTCTGATTATTTCTCCATGTTATGAACTTTGAACCGCGCTCCTGTCAGGGGTTCATTCTACGACACAACACCTGCTGAACACCGGTCGTCAGCCGCTGCTGCTCCGTCTCAGCGCGGCGTTGAAGGTACGTCTGTTAGGGTGACCATACGTCCTCTTTTACCCGGACATGTCCTCTTATGGGGGGCTGTCCGGGGGAGTTTATAAACTCCTTCAAATGTCCTGATCGTGTTTTCATTCATTATAAAACAGAGCAGAGGATCAGTCCTCTCTGCAGCTCCGCCCCTCCGATCACTTCTAAACAAAGTCACTGACGCGGTGCAGCATGTGCTGTCTTTGGGAATTCAGGATAATGTGTTTAACTGAGTTAGAAGTCCATAAAAACACTCAACTCGACCAAAAAAATAATAATAATAAAAAAACTCATAATTTCACACACAAGTCCGCCCTGCGTAGTCGTATCCTCTTGTTGTGGGTTCAGAATATGGTCACTCTAAAGTGTGTCCTGTGTTAACATAAACACAATGAAACTCTGTACAAATATCATTTCTGTTTGATTATTTTAGACTCTCACTGAAGGTGGCAGACATCTGTTTCTGTTATCAGAGACTCACTAAAGTTTTGAGTTAACGCTGAAAACCTAAAGTCTACTTTCTTTTAGCATTGATGAGGGAATCGTTAAAGAATTGAATCAATAAGCAAAATCAATAAAGGCATCGATATCGATAAAATCTTATCAATTCCCATCCCTACACTGATGACAGACTAAATTCACTTTAAAGAGTAAAAATGTTGTTTTTGTAAATAAATGTCTAACCTCTTCTTCACCCATGAGCTTCTAACCTTCACAGACTCCATGAATTGATGACCATCTCCTTAAGATTTGGTCACATGATCAATTTCTTTAACCATTTACAAGAATCAGAGGGGGTGGATCAACTTACCCCGGTCTCCCCTATAGATCACCACAGTGAACTTCACAGAGAAATAACAGCAAAACCCCCTGACCTTCTGCTCTGAATTTAACTCAGATTTACAGGACCTGCTCCTGCTTTAACACACACAGTTAATCTTCACTCACACAGAGATGTAATCCAGAGGAAAACAGTTAAATAAATGCTGTTTTACTCATATTTAACCCTTCCTTAAGTCTCTGTTGTTTAGTTAGATGATGATGCTAACACATGTAGCTCACCTGCTAACTGAGCTCACGGGTTAAACGTTAACATTTACGCTCCTCACCGTCACTTCAGACTAAGATTAGAGTACATCTGTAAATAAAGAGTAAAGTAAACCCCTCAGGACCGCGGTGGTCCGGTTGTTGTTCCGCTCTGTTCGGTTGTATTCGGTGGACGGGTTAATGGCGGCCCGGTGCTGAGAGTCGTTGCTACAACAACGCGCTGAGGCTAAAAACTCACCTACAATCTCCGCCGAAGGGTTAGCTATCTAGCTGTCATTAACGGGCCTGAGTCTTCCGTTAGTCTGTCCCCTGAAGATTCATGAACGTCTCAAACTTTATTCACTGAGAACAAGATGAAGAAGATGATGAAGAAGAGGAAGAAGGTTTGTCACGTTAGCCTCCATCATGACGCCTCTTCTTCTCCGACTGAAACTAAAGCATGCTGGGAGAATTTCACAATGGGCGGGAGATCCTGATATCATCACGCAAGGGGTTGTGGGAAACGAAGTTCGACTGAGCTAAACGGTTGTAGTCGTGTCGCTGCTGAATGCAAAACGACATTTTTTAAATCAAATCAAATATATAATTTCTCTCCAGTTCTGATTTTTGAATGTTAATTTTTATTTTTTTTACATTTTTATTTTTGGTTTTTAATTTTGTATTAATTCTCCGTCGGTTGTTCTCGGCGGTTAGTCCGAAGAAGTGTCCGAGTGTCGGGACGTCATCAGCCGTTTCTCCTCCTCCAACCGCCGCCGGTAAGTTCACCGATCTTCAGCCGTTAACCGGGACGGAGAGAGAATACAGCCGGTAAAATGACAGATAATAAGAGACGGACTTTTACCGGCTGTAATCCCGGTTTGATCTCTTGTTTCTTTATTTCCAGGCTCCGGTTAACGATCATTAACGGTCAGCTCCTGCTAAAGCTAGCTGGTCCTAACGGTCAGTTTGAGATTCTAACTTTAGTGACTTTAACGGCAGAAAAAACATAAAAAAAATCATATTTAACTTAAAAACCAACCCAGCCTTAATGTTCTTCAAATAAATCTAGGTGAAATATTTTCTGATGAAGTTAAATGATGAAGTTTGATCAGTTATTGCTGCTTTTACACCGATCAAGGTTATTATTACCGGAGCAGTTTATGAATATGTTTATTAGTGAATCTGTCTCTGAGTGAGTGATATTAAACTATCATGTCGATTTTCTCCTGTTTAAGTCTAATTAGACATGCTGTCCTCTTAATAGTTCATCATTGAGAACTTTGTTTTGTGTGGAGTCCAAGAAGAAGTGAGAACTAATGAGGATCTGAGATAAAGAAACAGTAAAAGTGTCAGTGGGATCATTATTTAATCAGAAAACTGCTTCACCTCACCTCTCTGAACGCCTCTCCAGGTGATACTGACACAACACTGACCGTACTGTTATTACTCTGTTTTTCTGGACCCTGACTGGTCCAGTTTCTCCATCAGAGGGTTTCACACAGTTACCTGAAGTATTTCATAAAGATACGGCGAGATAAATGTAAACGTTCTTTATTTATACAGCCCTTTACAACAACCCAGCATCAGTGAACCAAAGTGCTTCACAATAGAACATAAAAATGAATAGATAAAAACAATAAAAATAGCTTAATAATAAAAAAAGCTTCATGGAGCAGTGACCTTCAGCTCTTGCTGGGGCGGTTCGCGGCCGAGTGTGAATCAGAACACCCAAGTCCGAGGTCATGGTCCTCAGTCATAAAAAGGTAGATCACCTTCTCCAGGTCAGAGGGGCGGTCCTGTCTCAGGTGGAGGAGTTCAAGTATCTCAGGATCTTGTTCATGAGTGAGGGTAGGATGGAGCGGGAGATCGACAGGCGGATCGGAGCGGCGTCAGCAGTGATGCGGACGCTTAACCGATCAGTGGTGGTGAAGAAAGAGCTGAGCCGTAAGGAGAGACTCTGGATTTACCGGTCGATCTACGTGCCGATCCTCACCTATGGTCATGAACTTTGGGTAATGACCGAAAGAACAAGATCGCAGATACAAGCGGCTGAAATGGGTTTCCTCCTCAGGGTGTCCGGGCTCAGCCTTAGAGATAGGGTAAGGAGCTCGGACACTCGGGAGGCGCTCAGAGGAGAACCGCTGCTCCTCCACGTCCAGAGGAGTCAGCTGAGCTGGCTCGGGCATCTGGTTAGGACGCCTCCTGGACGCCTCCCGTTAGAGGTGTTCCAGACATGTCCCACCGGGAGGAGACCTCGTGGCCGGCCCAGGACCAGGTGGAGGGATTAGATCTCTCTCCTGGTCTGGGAGCGCCTGGGAACCCATCTGGGCTTCCTTCCTGAAGCTGCAGCTTGACGACGACGACGACTAAAAAAAAGAATAAAGTACAATAAAGTGTGACCACGCTACTGGGTATTTACAGCCAGCATAAATAAATATGTTTAAGGTCCAGGTCAGACAGAAGTCTCATTTCAGTGTGGAGTTTATTCCAGAGACCAGCGACTGAAACGTCTATTGTCCTGTCTAACTCTTATCTATACACAGATGAGCGTTAGACGGGACAATAAGGAGATAAAATGATGGTGAGGTAAAGGTAACTTCAAGTCAAACTGATCAGAGATGAAGCTCAGAGATGAAGACAGCTCAGGGAGGTTTCAAACTGTGCTAACAGTGACCGTAGAGCGGAGCAGTAAAGAGCGTCTCCGTCTTGTTTTGTGTGTTTTCAGAGTTTCAGTGAGTCGAGCTCAGAGCAGCAGCAGCCATGAGCAGCAGAAGCCGCCGGTCCTGGTGAGGTTTACAGGAGTCTGATCATGTGTTCAGATGACGTCCCGGGACGTCTGTGATGTTTGATGTGTCTGAGCTTTAATGCTGCGGGTTGTTTCCTGTCTCAGCACCATGACCCGCTCCGCCTTTCTGAGAAGACGAGGGCTGGACCTGGACAGAGGGACTCTACAGAAGCCTGGATGGACAAAAGAGGAGGTGATACTGTCACTGCTGAAAGTAAAAGTCAAACTGATCATTTAAGCAGTCATGAGAAGAACATCTGCTCTGTCCTTCAGAGAACTTCATCATCTCACAGTTTCACTCTGTCTGGAGGAGTTCTCACTTTCATTATGTCCCTGTGTGAGAAGGTCTCTGAAGGTCTTTGTTTTATCAGCGTTTGTGTATTTTAATAATAATAATAATAATAATAATAAAAATGTCATGAGTGTTTTTATGGGATGAAGCGTCTGAGGAAGTGAACAAACACCAGAGAAGCAGTTTGTTTTTGTGGTTTTACAGTCAGGTTCAGGAGCTCTGAGAAGGTCTCAGCGCTGTGATGATGATAATGATGATGATGATGATGATGATGATGATGATGATGATGATGATGATGATGATGATCCTCCTCCTCCTCCTCAGGATGAGAAGCTGCTCGGGCTGATGGAGTTTGGATCCAACAGCTGGTCTTCAGTTTCCTTTCATTTCAGAGTGAGTGCTTTTATTTTGTACTTCAGAACAACTTCCTGTCTTTAACTAGAGACCAGGACTCACTGGACTCTGTGAATCTGGATCAAACTGCAGTTCAGGTCCAGACACTGTTGGAGGAACATCAGGGTTTCTTCTTGGACTTTCAGGACGTCACTTTTACAAAAACAAACAACGATTAAAAAAAACTCAGAAAGAGAAAAAACAGTCGGTCAAATCTCTGAGAGGACGGACGGACATGTCAGGTGACCGATGTCCTCCATCATGATCCTTTTCTGTCCTCCTCAAAGTTCTCTTCCATCAGATACTCAACAGGAGTTTTTGGGTCCCGCTGAACTTTGGATCAGTCATCACCTCCTACATGAGAGCAGCGGTGACCCCGGTCACAGACAGACCGGACTCTGATCCCACTCTGATGCTTTTATTCTGACAGTTTGACTGTCCTGCTTTTTTAAATGGTGCTTTTATTGTGAAATGACTGAAGGACGTGAATGTCCTCAGTGTGTCCTCTCTGTGTCTCAGGGTCAAAGGTCGGCCGTAGAGTGTCAGAGGAGGTGGCAGCAGATCAGGAATCCTGAGATCGTCAAAGGTCCCTGGACTCAGGAGGAGGATGAGAAGGTGAGACAGGACTTCTCCTGTGGTCTACACTGACCCTGGTCCTGGTCCAAACAGGACAGATGAACATTGACGTCACAGATTAGAGGGTCCTCTACAGGGTCCAAGGTTTGACTAAGGACTGGACTGAAGTACCCACGAGTTCTCCAGTCCAGTCCTCTGAATCCACGTCTGCTGTTGGTCATGGTCCTCCATCAGGTCTTGGTGGTCTTGAAGTTGTAAATGGAGTCTCACCAAAGGAGTAACAGCTCCGTGTAGACTGGGAGATAAACAACATTTTCAATCATTTAGACGACTTAACATAGAGATCTGTTGGAGTCCCTTCAGTGAAGACACTTTTATGAGACAGAGATGAAGACGGAAACCTCAGTGGAAGAGAACGACGGGACTGAGGAGATGACAGAGAAGGAACTCCTTCTAGAATCGTCTCTAAACTGAAACAACAGGGAAGAAATACAGAGAATATCAAAGTGAAATATGGAGTTTTCAGGGAGTGATCGGAAGAACGAATTTAAGACCCAACGAACATCAACCAGCTCCAAACGATGGAGGGAAGAAATTTAACACATTTTTGTATTATCACACCCAAAATCTAAAATAAACAATCAGGCCAACGACAACATCGCTACGGAAACTGTGGGCAACGGAATGGGAACCGTTCTGATGTATTTGGGAGGAAGTTTGAAGAGCTAGAGGTGAAGATCTGATCTTCCTAAAGATCCTCGGTTTATTCATCTAGGACTGATACCAGACGATGAAAGAAGTAAAGAAGACAGAAACCTGTTCAAGATCCTGAGAAGGTCATTATTAGAAGATGAAGCACCTGGACTGGACCACCTGACTGGACAGTGACGAAGAAACTTGATCAATGGAACAAACGACCTTCAGTCTAAGAATGAAAACAGACGAAATGACATTTTTAGGTCACAGAGTCGTGTTCTTGTGTTTTTGTGTTTTTGTGTTCTTGTGTTTTTGTGTTTTTGTGTTCTTGTGTTCCTGTTTAAAAAAAAAGCCGTGTCTCACCTCACCATCTGATGTCACTTCCTGTGCAGCTGATCGATCTGGTGCAGAAGTACGGCAGGAAGCGCTGGTCTCTGATCGCCAGATACCTGCACAGTCGGAACGGGAAGCAGTGTCGCGAACGATGGCACAACCACCTGAACCCGGGCGTGAAGAAGAGCAACTGGTCCCTGGAGGAGGACCGGGTCATCTTTGAGGCCCACAGTCAGCTGGGGAACCGCTGGGCCAACATCTCCAAACTTCTGCCCGGCAGGTAAGAGGAGTGGAAGAGGTGTGAGCGCCACCTGTGAGACTCTGCAGGAGCTGAAGGGGGCGCTGTGTTTGTTCACAGGACAGATAACTCCATCAAGAACCACTGGAACTCCACCCTGAGGAGAAAGGTGGAGAGAGAGGGCTACCTGCAGGTCCTGAACCTCTACAGCTCCACCAACACCAGCTCCTCTGACTCCTCCTCCTTCATCACACCTTTACCGGGCACAGCAGGCGTCCCCGCTAAGGTCAGTGACCTCCACCCGTCAGCGTTCACCCCTTCATACCAACATGAATAACAGCTGATTCCTCCACCTGCAGGCCGACAGTCTGTCCACCGTGAAGGACGAGTCCAGCTGCACCTCCAACGATCAGAGCGTCTGCTGTCTCCATAGCAACCAGGCACACCTCTGCTCCTTCTGTGTCCCCACCTCCTCCGGCTACGAGTCCTCTCTGAGCATGTGCGAGCCGACGGCCCCCCCAGCGCTGATGGAGGAGGTACCATCATTATGGAAAAAAGAGTTGAGGCTTTTATTTTGAAAAGCAGCTGTGTGGGTTCTATCATCTATCACTGATGTTCAAAAACACCTCCTTCAGAAGATCAGGACTAAAACAGGAACCTGATACCATGGTACCGCACCAGTGACCCAACACAGCTGACGGTGGCTGTCGCGACCTGATCCACCTGGAAACCTGATTTCTACTGGGCATGTGCGAAACGTACGTCACTTCTTCTACTGTGACCGCTTCGACATCATTGAGCTCGCTTCAGTTTATCGATACTTCAGTTTATCAATACTTCATTTTATCAATACTTCAGTTTATCAATACTTGATTTTATCAATACTTGTTTATCGATACTTCAGTTTATCAATACTTCAGTTTATCGATACTTCAGTTTATCGATACTGCAGTTTATCGATACTTCAGTTTATCGATACTGCAGTTTATCGATACTGTAGTTTATCGATACTGCAGTTTATCGATACTTCAGTTTATCAATACTTCAGTTTATCAATACTGCAGTTTATCAATACTTTATTTTATCAATACTTCAGTTTATCGATACTTCAGTTTATCAATACTTCATTTTATCAATACTTCAGTTTATCGATACTTCATTTTATCAATACTTCAGTTTATCGATACTTCAGTTTATCAATACTTCAGTTTATCAATACTTGTTTATCAATACTTCAGTTTATCAATACTTCAGTTTATCAATACTTCAGTTTATCAATACTTCAGTTTATCGATACTTCAGTTTATCAATACTTCAGTTTATCGATACTTCAGTTTATCGATACTGCAGTTTATCGATACTTCAGTTTATCAATACTTCAGTTTATCGATACTTCAGTTTATCAATACTTGTTTATCGATACTTCAGTTTATCAATACTTCAGTTTATCAATACTTGTTTATCGATACTTCAGTTTATCAATACTTCAGTTTATCAATACTTCAGTTTATCAATACTTGTTTATCGATACTTCAGTTTATCAATACTTCAGTTTATCAATACTTGTTTATCGATACTTCAGTTTATCGATACTTCAGTTTATCAATACTTCAGTTTATCAATACTTCAGTTTATCGATACTTCAGTTTATCAATACTTCAGTTTCTAACAGCCACACTTTCCTCCTCAATGGAGTTTTTCCCCCGACTGAAGCAGAGCGCCGGAAAGTCAAGACAATGGCGCCCAGTTTCCCCCCTTGATACTTTGAAAAGTCAGAACCATCATTTTGACCAGGTGGTGGCGCTCTCTGTGGCCCCAAAAGGTCTCACTGTTCTGGGCAGGAGCTCTGGAGCCTCCTGTTTTCTAGCCTGTCACATGGCCAGCTTGTTTCTGAATCGATCGACAGTTTAAATAAAGTTTTTAAGGGTAGGTATCGACTCGCTGCCGTAAAATACATTCAAACTTCAAGAGAGGAAGTGACGAACGTTTCGCACAAGCGCAGTACAGATCGGGTTTCCACGATGGATCGGGTAGCGACAGTGGCCAGAACACGACTCGTTTTCATTGGGCATGTGATGATGTCACTGTTGACGTTGATGATGATGTCATCGTTGACGTTGATGATGATGTCATCGTTGATGTTGTGTGAAGGTTCTGGTTCTGGAGAACGTTGAGGGCCTTGCTCCTGGTGTGGGATCCTCTTGGTCCTCATGGATCAATAACTGTCCACAGGGGGGTCTGGGCTTCTCCCCCTCTGAGGTAACACAACTTAAGACACACACAAACACACACACACAGAAAGTTAGTCAGCTGTTTGTCAGATCGACCTCGGTCAGAGTCGAGACATCTCTGAACACTGAATGTGTGTGTGTGTGTGTGTGTGTGTGTGTGTGTGTGTGTGTGTGTGTGTGTGTAGTTCTTAGGTCTGTGTGACTCGGAGGGTCCGCTGAGATCCCAGCCCCCCGTTCTCACCTCCACGCCCGTCTGTTCCCTCAAACACTCCGCCCACTTCGCCCAGAACTCCGCCTCCTGTCTTCACTGCAGCCTCAGTAACACCAGCCAGTGAGTCAGGGAGGGTCAGAGGTCAGAGGTCAAACTACTCTTAAAACTGTGACCTCATGAGCTCAGGGCTGGTACTGGATCAGAGTGTCTCAGTTCTGGTTCTGGTCAGGCTCAGGTTCTTGTTGTTGTGTTGTGTTCAGGACCCCTCCAAAGTTCAGAGAGAGAGTCCGAGTCATGTTAATGTCGGCGCCGCAGACCCCGACCCCTCTGAAGACCAGCAGCAGTGACCAGGAGGAGGTGAGAGGAGGAGGAGACCACCTGGACCTCCTGTCCTGGGGCTTGGACCATGGACCATGACGGACCCTGATCCTCTGTGTCTGTGTGTACTTCAGGTGTCAGCCAGCAGCAGGATGACCTCCCTGATGGGGGAGGAGCTTAACGACAACCTCGACGCCCAACACTCCAGCAGCAGCAGCAGCTCTGAGGTCACACACACACACACACACACATATTTATGATGGTCCTCACAAGCATAGCTGGACAAACACACAAACACAAGAGTGGGGCGTTTGATCCTGACCATGAAAAGGGTCTCAGGTCCTTGAACCCGTCAGTACCTTTCCATGACCCCGACTCTGAGACAGTTGAAGAAGTAAGGAGCACAAAGAACTTTAGGGGATCAATGAAAACTGATCAATAATGTTTGTCTAATTGGTCAACCAGTAATTTATTGACGGTCCCTTATTCAACACCGACGTTGACAGTGAGGGTGTGAGTAGATTTAACCGCGCTGCTGTTGTTATTCCCGGTTATGGAGAGTGAGAAGACACCGGTAGATCCTCAGAGAATGTCCGTCAGATATCCAACCTGAAACTAACTTCACCGCCGTATTTACAGGAAAATATATCCAACCTAAAACTAACTTCACCGCTGTATTTACAGGAAAATATATCCAACCTGAAACTAACTTCACCGCCGTATTTACAGGAAAATATATCCAACCTAAAACTAACTTCACCGCCGTATTTACAGGAAAATATATCCAACCTAAAACTAACTTCACCGCCGTATTTACAGGAAAATATATCCAACCTGAAACTAACTTCACCGCCGTATTTACAGGAAAATATATCCAACCTAAAACTAACTTCACCGCCGTATTTACAGGAAAATATATCCAACCTGAAACTAACTTCACCGCCGTATTTACAGGAAAATATATCCAACCTAAAACTAACTTCACCGCCATATTTACAGGAAAATATATCCAACCTGAAACTAACTTCACCGCCGTATTTACAGGAAAATATATCCAACCTGAAACTAACTTCACCGCCGTATTTACAGGAAAATATATCCAACCTAAAACTAACTTCACCGCCATATTTACAGGAAAATATAGCCAACCTAAAACTAACTTCACCGCCGTATTTACAGGAAAATATATCGAACCTAAATCTAACTTCACCGCCGTATTTAGAGGAAAATATATCCAACCTGAAACTAACTTCACCGCCGTATTTAGAGGAAAATATATCCAATCTGAAACTAACTTCACCGCCGTATTTACAGGAAAATATATCCAACCTAAAACTAACTTCACCGCTGTATTTACAGGAAAATATATCCAACCTGAAACTAACTTCACCGTCGTATTTACAGGAAAATATATCCAACCTTAAACTAACTTCACCGCCGTATTTACAGGAAAATATATCCAACCTGAAACTAACTTCACCGCCGTATTTACAGGAAAATATATCCAACCTAAAACTAACTTCACCGCCGTATTTACAGGAAAATATATCCAACCTGAAACTAACTTCACCGCTGTATTTACAGGAAAATATATCCAACCTAAAACTAACTTCACCGCCGTATTTACAGGAAAATATATCCAACCTGAAACTAACTTCACCGCCGTATTTACAGGAGAATATATCCAACCTAAAACTAACTTCACCGCCATATTTACAGGAAAATATATCCAACCTAAAACTAACTTCACCGCTGTATTTACAGGAAAATATATCCAACCTGAAACTAACTTCACCGCCGTATTTACAGAATATATCCAACCTGAAACTAACTTCACCGCCGTATTTACAGGAAAATATATCCAACCTAAAACTAACTTCACCGCCTTATTTACAGGAAAATATATCCAACCTGAAACTAACTTCAGCGCCGTATTTACAGGAAAATATATCCAACCTGAAACTAACTTCAGCGCCGTATTTACAGGAAAATATATCCAACCTAAAACTAACTTCACCGCCTTATTTACAGGAAAATATATCCAACCTGAAACTAACTTCACCGCCGTATTTACAGGAAAATATATCCAACCTGAAACTAACTTCACCGCCGTATTTACAGGAAAATATATCCAACCTAAAACTAACTTCACCGCCGTATTTACAGGAAAATATATCCAACCTAAAACTAACTTCACCGCCGTATTTACAGGAAAATATATCCAACCTGAAACTAACTTCACCGCCGTATTTACAGGAAAATATATCCAACCTGAAACTAACTTCACCGCCGTATTTACAGGAAAATATATCCAACCTGAAACTAACTTCACCGCCGTATTTACAGGAAAATATATCCAACCTGAAACTAACTTCACCGCCGTATTTACAGGAAAATATATCCAACCTAAAACTAACTTCACCGCTGTATTTACAGGAAAATATATCCAACCTGAAACTAACTTCACCGCCGTATTTACAGGAAAATATATCCAACCTGAAACTAACTTCACCGCTGTATTTACAGGAAAATATATCCAACCTGAAACTAACTTCACCGCCATATTTACAGGAAAATATATCCAACCTAAAACTAACTTCACCGCCGTATTTACAAGAAAATATATCCAACCTGAAACTAACTTCACCGCCGTATTTACAGGAAAATATATCCAACCTGAAACTAACTTCACCGCCGTATTTACAGGAAAAAATTCTATAATTCACACACGTCTGTTTTCAGTCGCTCTGCAGAGTCCTGCTCTGATCTTTGGGTCCCTCTGGACCACCTTCTGTCCTCCAGGTTCATGGAGAGAGTCTACTGATCCCGGTCCAGGAGTCCAGCTCCATGACAAAGACTGAAGGGGGGTTCAGCTTCATCAAGGAGGTCCAGGGAGAGCCGGACTCACACCAGCAACAAGTCCAGACAGGAGAGTCCAGCTCTGGTCTGCAGGTTCAGGAAGAGTCCTGCTCAGTCTGTGAGGGTCTGAGCTCTCTCCTGTTGGGTCAGATGGGGGTCTGGTGGTGTCAGCAGACCGTGGGTCTGTCTCCTGAGGGTCTGATAGACGGACTGAACCTGTTTGAGGTAAAGAACCAGAACCCTCTGAGACCTGGAACTGAGTGTGTGTGAATGTTTGTCCAGCTATACTTGTGAGGACCATCATAAGTTTGTCACCTTCAGAGTGAGGTCCAAATATCTGTGTGTGTGTGTGTGTGTGTGTGTGTGTGTGTTCAGATGAGCAGGGAGCTGCAGGATCTGATGTTTGGAAGGACAGACGATCAGAAGAGTCTGACCGAGCAGGCCCGGTTCTACCTGGAGCCCTGATCCTGATCCAGGATCACAGGTGAGTCTGCAGGGACCGTTAGTGCACCTGTGTGTGTGTGTGTGTGTGTGTGTGTGTGTGTGTGTGTGTGTGTGTGTGTCTTCAGAGGGAAACATCACGGGGGTGGTGAGTGTTGGACTTCTTTGATTGGCTGTCATTTACAACAAGCCCCACCCACATTCAGATCAGCTGTTCAGAATATCAGATGGAAACTTTCAAAAGTGGAGATCAGGATTTCATTTAGAAAGACGTTTTTTTTCTTTCAGGTGTTTCTGCTCCTTCATCACCTTCATCATCATCACACCCCTCACCCTCTTCCTCACCCTCACCCTCACCCTCGTCCTCTTCCCCACTCTCCTCCTCTTCCTCACCCTCTCCCTCCTCCTCCTCTTCCTCACCCTCTTCCTCTTCCTCGCCCTCACCCTCGCCCTCCTCCTCTCCCTCGCCCTCCTCCTCACCCTCTTCCTCCTCCTCTTCCTCGCCCTCTTCCTCTTCCTCCTCCTCTTCCTCCTCCTCCTCCTCACCCTCTTCCTCTCCTTCCTCCTCACCCTCGCCCTCCTCAGCAGCAGGTTTGTCTCCTCTGAGTCGGCGTCTGAAGGATCATTCGTGGAGCGTTATGAGCGTCCACGTCTCTTCAGTGTCTTCTTAGTCGACCTGTGCGAGCTGAGTCAGCGTTCTGACCGTTTTAACCCTTTCTGCTGTGACCTCCTTGGGTTTGTCCTCAAACGGACTTTTATTGATTTATTTATTGAGCAGTTTTTATTTTTTAACACGGTCACAGATTGAAGTCCTTTTACCTCTGAACAGTTTTAACTCAAACGCTTCATTTTTAAATGATTTTAATCTCTTTTTAATCAACACTTACTGTTTCATCAGAACTCGTATTTTACAGGTTTTAGATTTTTAATCAACTCCATCTGTAAAAACAGAACTGAACCTCTTTGTCTTTATTTCATGGCAGCCATAATTTTTTTTATCAGAATCAGAAATACTTTAATAATTTATATTTTAATTATAATAATTTATTTATTTGAAAATGTCGTTTTTGTGACACCAAGACACTTTATATTTGGAGGAACTTCAGCACTTTGAATCAGAACCGGGAAAAGTTTCTGGGTTTGGATCAGACCTGGAGTCTGGGACGGTTCTGATGGTTCTGTTTGTCCGAGCAGCACTTGAGCAGTTTTCACTGTTTTTATTGATTTTGCTGTTTTTATTGATTTTTACTCTTTATTTCTCTGGTTTCTTTGGGATGTGATGTGCAATAAAGGAGAGACAGGAAACTTGAACGTGTTTTTATTTTTGTGTTTTCATGTTTCAAAGACCGTCCGTCTCTATGTGACGTTCAGGAACGATCAGACTTTTCAGCTCTTTGTCTTCTGTGCTGAGGGGAAAGGGCGGACCAGTATCTGTGGAGGGTCTCCATGTTCGAAAAGATCAGACGGTTCTGACTCGTCTCCTTGGACGCGGACTGTTGACTTAGGGACTTTTCTTTCCTCTGGTCTTGGATCAGACAAAAATGACCAGGATCACTCCAGGACGACTTGAGTTCCTCTTTAATCCCTGGAGCTCAGACTTGGTCTCAGGGACTTGAACTTGACCTGATGGTCTTTAACCTCGGGGGGGCTTAGAGCTGACTTTGAGACTCAGATTTGACCTCTAAAACCTGACCTGAGAGACTTGGACTTGGCCTTAGGGACTCAGACTTGACCTCTGGAAACCATGATTGACTTCTGAGAAATAAATTTGACCTCAAGGACTCAGACCCGTTCTCAGGGACCATGACTAGACCTGAGGGGTACAGACAGGACCTTAGAGACCGACAACGAGACATTGGGGACTTGAGGGAAGTGGGTTCTGGGCTTGTGACCCGAAACTCGCCTTTATTGGAATTTGATAGGACAACTTGAGAGAGACAGGAAACATGACAGGTGAGGGAGTTTGACCTGGACTGGATCCTACGGTCTTTGGGACCTGGACTGTAGGCCCTGTACATGAGCAGCCCACTATACGGACCGAGCTGAACCAGTACCCTACGGTTCTGTTCAAGTGGTACGGTCTGGACATGACCCTTCTGACTTGGATTAGACCCTGGTGACTCAGATGTGACCTCTCAGTCTTGGTCTAGTCTCACAGACCTGAGTGTAACCTCGGCAACGTAGTAATTTAGACTTTGGTGACTCTTTCAGGAGTTTGGTCTTAGTGACCGGTTCTTGATCAGGTACCTTGACACTACTCTGATGTAATCTCAGAAACTGGGACTCCAGTGACTCAAGAAGAACCACTGAAACCACTTTGATTGGACCTGACCTGAGATCCCCCCTCAGATGTTACCTGAGTGACCTGGACCTGCCTGTAGGTCACCTGAGGTTCCATAGTTCCACCTGAAGGTCTGCAGATTCCAGATAAAAAAAGTAGATTCCTTATTTGTGAGAAGTCTCCTCATGGCGGTCTAGTCCGGCTGGAAGGCGGTGTTAACAGATCCTGTGTTTGGATGGGTGGACTGAGGGAGGTGGGGGCAGCTCTTCCTTCTGGACTTGGTGAGGACTCGGTGGAGGAGGCTGGGAGAGTTGTGGGAGGGGGCCGCTGAACCCGAGGGCCCGTCGAGTCCCAGGGGCTGCCAGACGCTGTTTTTCCTCAGCAGCTTTGGAGTACTGCGACCACTGCGGGGAAAACAAAGTCCACCATCAGGACTCCGCTAAGAGAAGGTACAGGTGGTCTGGTCAGGTGACTCAGTGAGACCTGTCCAAACCTGAGCGTGTCCAAGTCCGTTCTGAGGGACATGAACAGGTGAACCTCAGAAGAGATGTAGACCATCAGAGTCAGACCATTTTAAACTTTCAAAATAAAAGTGTTTTTTTTTTTAAGCAGAAATCCTCCAGAATCTGTTACAGAAGAAATCCTGATAATCGAAATAATAAAAATACTGATAAAGAAATAATGAAAATAAACTGTTTGTAAGATTTTACAGGATTTAAAGGTTTGAAGTTGTTTGTTTTGAATGTTTCAATAAAGTTTGTGGTTTTAAAAAGACCGGAGTGACCTCTGACCTGCAGGCCGGTCATGTGACTTCTGTGTAGTTACCTGGTGCAGCCACAGGGGGCGACTGATGGCGATACAACAGCCGGAACTGACACCCTCCTCGTTAGTGTGGGCGTGGCTCTGGATGAAGCTCCGCCCTGCAGTATAATTATCTCATTAGATCACAGCTGGCTGTCGGCCAATCAGAGGCTGAGTTTATCAAGGACAAATTTGACAACATGGAACATCCAAAGAAATCCTGATCCTGGACCAACCCAGACCTGAATCCTCCACTGAGCTCATGTCCAAACATCAGCCTGCAGCAGGTCAAACCCGTCACTCTGAGTTTAAGAGAGTTTAGAGAGAGTTATAGCTGACCCTCACTGAGGCTTCATGGTTTACGGACAGTTTAACCCTTTATAGTCGTTCATCTGTTCGCTCATCAATATTTTTTCAGGGTCACAAAATTCTGTGAATTTTCAAAGTCGGAAACTTTCTGTGAGAATTAACGTGAATAAATCTGAAATGTAAAAACTGAAGGTCGACCTTCAACAAGAACTTCAAGACAGTCGGTGAAAATATCTTGTAGTATCATCTTGACTAAAACAACCAGATTTAATGAGAGTCCACTCCTCAGTCACATGATTTCTTGAACCCTGGAGGCCCACAGACGTTTGAGTCCACCGACTATAGAAGGTCAAGTTTGGATAAAATTACGGGGTCAATATATTTGATCTATAATAGTTTTAATATTTAAATAAAAATCGGTGTTAATGTCAGTTATTTTTCTGGACTTAGTTCAGACGTTTCGTCCAGCTGTCCTTTCCAGGAGAAGGTTCGATTTTGATCCATCAGACCTCAGGTGATATTAGGTCCAGAGTCCTGTTGCTCCTAAACCAGGAGATCTTGTTCAGCATTAATGGAACCTTCACAGAAGACCTGGACTCTGATGATCCATCAGAGATGCTGGATTTGGACTGACTCTGCCACACTGAATGACCTTTATAGACCTGGTCATGTGACGAACCTGTTAGACATTCACCTCATTGGTTGGAGATGTTCCTCCAGATGTTTGTGTAGCGTAAGAACTTTGGACCTCTCTGGTTGGTCCTCTATAAGAACTTTGGACCTCTCTGGTTGGTCCTCTATCAGAACTTTGGACCTCTCTGGTTGGTCCTCTAAGAACTTCGGACCTCTCTGGTTGGTCCTCTATCAGAACTTTGGACCTCTCTGGTTGGTCCTCTAAGAACTTCGGACCTCTCTGGTTGGTCCTCTAAGAACTTCTGACCTCTCTGGTTGTTTCTCTATCAGAACTTCTGACCTCTCTGGTTGTTCCTCTATCAGAACTTCTGACCTCTCTGATTGGTCCTCTAAGAACTTCGGACCTCTCTGGTTGGTCCTCTAAGAACTTCGGACCTCTCTGGTTGGTCCTCTATCAGAACTTTGGACCTCTCTGGTTGGTCCTCTAAGAACTTCGGACCTCTCTGGTTGGTCCTCTAAGAACTTCTGACCTCTCTGGTTGTTCCTCTAAGAACTTCTGACCTCTCTGGTTGGTCCTCTAACAGAACTTTGGACCTCTCTGGTTGGTCCTCTAAGAACTTTGGACCTCTCTGGTTGTTCCTCTAAGAACTTCGGACCTCTCTGGTTGGTCCTCTATCAGAACTTCGGACCTCTCTGGTTGGTCCTCTGACATCTTCTCACCTGCAGCGGTTCCACACAGGCCGCAGGAAAATATCCCTCGTCTCCGTTTTTGAGCCGTCCGAACCACCAGGTCTCGTCCTCCTTAAACAGGACCTGAATCTTGTCTCCCTGGTTCAGGTCCAGCTCCTTTGGCCAGCGGGACCGGTACTGCAGCACCGCCACCACCACCTGCCAATCACAGGACACAGCTGCTGATTGGTTCTGATTGATTTTGGTCATTTTCAGTGAAAAACGTCAAACGGATCAGAACCACGCTGTTATTAAACCCAACCACAGGAAGCTAACGCTAACTGTTTAATTAGAGTGTGTGTGTGTGTGTGTGTGTGTGTGTGTGTGTGTGTGTGTGTGTGTGTGCCACTTTAATCTGCTGTAAATAGATGCTGTTCAGCTCAGCAGGCTGTAAATACACAAGGATCAGGGGTCACACTGATGTAACAGGCATTAACACACACACACACACATACACGGACGCACGCACACACACACACATGCACACATGGACGCACACACACACACACATGTCTTCTTCTGTTTCTTTTGTTTTATTTTGATCCTTTTATCATGAGTACGAGGACGGTGAGAGGGAGCTAACTGTGTGTGTGTGTGTGTGTGTATGTGTGAGTGTGTGTGTGAGTGTGTGTGTGTGTGTGTGTGTGTGTGGACTTAAACCAGATGTTGATTGACAGTAAAGTGATCAGAGCCCCGCTCAAACTTCAGTCTGCTCTCAGGGGTCAGAGGTCAGTATCTGTACATGTGGTTAAAGTCGATGTTCAGTGTCGGTCCGACTGAAACTGAACTTTTAAAAACACACGTCTCCACGTGAGTCTAAGTCTGAGTTTCTTCTCTGTCGTACTGAGATCCTGCTGTCAGGGATCGTAAAACCGTTCTCAGAGATCTGAGCGTGCTCCAGAGTTCACACGCCGCCCTTTGACCCTGAAGGTCACCGGCATTAATGTGCTGGAGGAGGAGGAAGACGGGTAAAAAAACAAAACTGTCGTATGTCGGGAAGTGTCAGAGCTGTCGGGTGTTTTCACCATTTTATGTACAACCTGGTGACCTCCGGTTACGAGACATGGTAGGTCAAAACAAAAACAACAACAACAGACACACAACAACCAGAAAATGGACAAAATGACACATTAGAGTTTCTACACAAACACAAAACAAGTTTGTAAAGAGAAGAATACAAACAACCAAAAACAGAGACAGAAAACAACTCAATAAAAGACGAGAGGGATGCAGAAAAACGACAAAGGGACAACAAAGGAAGACAAAATACTACAGAGACAAAAAAATACAAAAAAGAGAAAAATACTACAAAAGAGACAAAAAACTACAAAGAACAGGAAAATTACTACAAAAGGAACACAACTGCTGCAAAGACACAAACTATGGAGGGACACACAAATATTTTACTGCAGAATTGATTACAAAGACTGAAGTAACTACTGAAAAATACACACAACTACATAAAAAATACACAAACAACCAAAAAATAAATCCTGACACAGAACTTAAACAAACACTTAGAGTCAAAGGACAAAAAAAATAACTCTGAAGACCACAACAAACTACAAAGAGACAAAAAAAACTACAAAGAGACAAAAAACTACAGAGACAAAAAAACTACAGACAAAAAACTACAAAGAGACAAAAAACTACAAAGAGACAAAAAAACTACAAAGAGACAAAAAAACTACAAAGACAAAAAAACTACAAAGACAAACAAAAACTACAGAGAGATAAAAAACCACAGAGAGATAAAAAACTACAAAGAGATAAAAAACTACAAAGAGACAAAAAAAACGACAAAGAGACAAAATAAAACTTCAGAGTTTAAAAAATCACTGCAAAGAAAAGAAGAAACACAAAGTACCACAGGAAAACTGCAACAAGACAAACCTTTAAAAACAAAAACTACAAAGATTCACAACTCTGCAGGAGAAAAACACGACAATGAAAATACATCCGACTACTGAACAAGTACTGCAGTAACTCCTCTGAGAAACAGTCGTAGTAACTCCTCTGTCTGCATACTACAACTACTACTAATAATAATAATGCATCAGATTTCATATAGCCTTTTATCAGAGACCCTTAGAAGCGCTTTACATTGAATCCATCATTCATTCACTCATTCATTCACTCATTCATTCACACAGTCACACCTTGGTGGTGGTGAACTATCTTCATTGTCACAGCTGTCCTGGGGCAGACTGATGGAAACATGGCGGCCAGTTTGCACCTACGGCCTCTCCGACCACCACCACACACACTCACAATCACACACCAGTGAGGACACACACACACACACACACTCACAATCACACACCAGTGAGGACACACACACACACACACACACACACACACACTGGGAACAAGGTGGTTTTAGTGTCCAACACAAGGACACGACAGACAGACTCAGGGGGGAACTGAACCGCCGACCCTCCAGTTATTGGACGACCGCTTTACCCACCGCTGCCCCACGGTGGCCTCATGAGAGTACTGCAGTATAGTGTCAGGACATGTATTTGTACTGCACTCTGAACTGTAATGTTTCTTTGCTGATCTGTGTGTGTGTGTGTGTGTGTGTGTGTGTGTGTGTGTGTGTGTGTGTGTGTGTGTCCAGGCTCAGTTCTCAGTGGGTCTGACTGAAGTTCTCCTTACCTTCTCTGCCTCCACATGTCTGGTTCTGGTCCTGGACCTGCAGACTGAGACACACACTGAGCATGAGCACAGGCTGTTATGGGTGTGTGTGTGAGTGTGTGTGTGTGTGTGTGTGTGTGTAACAGACCTTGTGGGGAGAAGACGGTGGTGTAGACCTCAAACTGCTCGTCCGTCTGTCTGTAGATCTGCTGCATGTTGCTCTCTGCCTCACACACACACACCGATCACACACACTCTGAGCTTAAATACACTCGGTCACTAATCCTGCTGTGAGTGTGTGTGTCACTGAGAGCATCAGGTGTTCTGATTGGCTGTTGGGCTTGGAGGTTGGCCTCTCAGCAGGTTCTATGTTTTCAGGTGTTAGCATGTGGCGGCTAAAAGCTCAGGTGAGGTCAGGTGACTCAGCAGCTGTTTGATAACGAGAGAGAGAGAGAGAGAGAGAGTCGATCAAAATACAGATTAGAGCGAGCAGAAACAGACTCTACATCTCCATGGAAACAGTACAGGACAGAAACAGTCCATGGATATTCTGGTGTAAAATTAATTTAGGGTCAAACCCACCGTAACACCGAGTTAGACCCCGCCTCCAGAGATGAATGTTGTCGACCGCTTGCTTCTCTAGTTATACCAACTTTAGTAACGACCGCAGGATAGAAATACAGAGAGACACGCCCCCAACCAAAACGCCACTCTATAGCCACAAATAATGCTCAGAACAGCACCTAACTTCATCAACAGGACATATAGGGTCACAGACATAGTACTAGACACCAAACATCTTTTTAACTTTGACTCATTTCTTTAACAAAGAGACTAAACACAACTCACCTACTCTCTTCCAGCAGACGCTTGTTTGTAGAGAGACCTCAGGCCAGTCCATTACAGACTACAGCGGGGTGACGCAGCTCAAAGAAGAACATTTATGATCATTTCTTTATCATTTCCTTGAAGTAATAATCACCATATTAATCATTTTACAGACGCGGTAGTTCTTCTGTCTTAGCGTCTCGGTCTGATTGTATTTCCATGAAGAAATGATCATAAATGTTCTTCCTTGAGCTGCGGCACCCCGCTGTAGTCTGTAATGGACTGGCCTGAGGTCTCTCTACAAACAAGCGTCTGCTGGAAGAGAGTAGGTGAGTTGTGTTTAGTCTCTAAAGAAATGAGTCAAAGTTAAAAAGATGTTTGGTGTCTAGTACTATGTCTGTGACCCTATATGTACTAACCTCAGTAGAACATGGTGTAGTTCCGTTCAGTAACAGAACCTCATTGGAAAATTAGCTGATTTAACTTTACTGTGCTCTTGTTCAAATATATTAACTCGACAGCACATAAATCCATACCTGTTAACAAAATCATGATTTTATTGATAATTCGGCTCAATAAAAACACCTTTACCTTTTCATTTTACTACAGTAGAAGTTTATTGGCCCAGCTTATAGACTACAGAAGTGGAGAAAGGCCCCCGCTTACGTTTGTTTTTGTTTTCTGATTAAATATTTTTTTAGATAACTTCTTTGTTTTCATGTTTTTTGGGCTTCATGACATTTTTGAGTGAAATTATTTTTCATTTGATCAAAAATTTCCTGATTTTTCTCTTTCTTACTCTTTTATATTTTAATGTTGTGAATTCTGTGACCTGAGTGATCCAGCCTCAGGTCCATGAGTCATGTGTAACACAGGTGAGCTCAGGTGTGTGTGACTGTGCTCCGTGCTCCGTGGTGCGTTCAGGGTCACTCTGTTCTTAGCTCGTTTGCTGATCTGAGAGTTAATCCAGTTAAACGCGGTCGGATCAGCTTTATATAACAACTGTTCCTGGATCAGATTAAAGTGGATTAGAACCGAGAGGAGGCCTTCTCAGAAACACACACGCACACACACACACACACACACACACACACACGCACACACACAGGTGATTTTAGTTTTTACCCGTTTTACCCGGACTCTTCTGTGAGGATTCAGGACCTGAGGGGAAAAACCAGG